ACGTCATGCTCGTGCCCGATCCAGAAGCAGCACCGGCCTCGCAGCAGATTACGCCGGCGTCGCCGGCAGCGTCAGCCGCAGCAGGTGCGCCGGCCCCGCCGGCAGCAGGCGCGGCAGCATCAGCCGCAGCAGGTGCCCCGGCTCCGCCCCCGCCGGCAGCAGGCGCGGCAGCATCAGCCGCAGCAGGTGCGCCAGGCCCAACCCCGCCAGGGCTCCTGGTCATCAAGCTGCAGGATCTGCTCGCCCACGCGGGCCGGCTTCGAGCTGAGGAGTTCGACTCCCTCGGGGCGCAGCTTGGCGCGGGGACCTTCGGAGTGGTGTACGCCCTCGGCACCGAGGCGGCGAAGGCCTTCGCGCGGCGGGAGGCGCCGGCAGGAGGCGGCAGCGGCGGGAGGACGCAGCGAGAAGCCGCCCAGGACGCGATGCGGGAGGCGGCGGTGGCCGCCGCCATCCCTCCCCATCCGCACATCAGCCGACCGCCTGTGGCAACGCCCGCAGCCCCCTTCTCTGAAACGGCTCGTCCCGCGGTCGTTCTGGGCCAGAACGCCTGCGTTACGCAGGCGTTCTGGCCCAGAACGACCGCGTTCCGGTCCAGAACGACTGTGTCCTGGAGGGGGCCTTGGGGCAGATATGACGGAGGGGGCGGGGGCAGGGGCAGGAGACGCGGGGGAGGAGGTTGGGGTGGAGGAGGAGGGGGGGGGCGACGACGAGAAGAAACGTCGGCGCCATGATATGCCACCGCTGCGCGCGGAGGGCGCGCTGGCGGATCCGCCTCGAGGACGTCTTCGTTCACGACCATCCCCGCCGGGGGCGAACGGCCTACCTGCAGTGCCCTTTGTACGACGGCTCCTTCGCCGGGCTCGGCCCGGTGGACGCGGCCGCGGCGTGGCGCGTGGCGGGCGCGGTCCTCCAGGCCGTCGACCACCTCCACTCCGCCGGTCTGCTCCGCGGGGACGTCGAGCCGCATAATTTGCTGCGCCGACGCCCGTGGCCGCAGGCGGGGGGCGACGTAGATGTCGTCTTAGCCGACCTCGGGTCGGCGGAGCCGATTGATCCGCGCCTCCGCGCGCCGGCTTCGACAGCGCCGGTTACTTTGTGGTACAAAGCCCCGGAGCTCCTGCTCGGCGATGAGCGCTGCGGCGCAGGCGTCGGGGTCGAAGAGGGGAGGGGGCTGGCTCAGGGGCGGGGCATCGACCCCAATCGCGCATTCATCGCCGATTTGGGCCATTGCCCGTTGCTGGTTTATCGGCGGTGCAATGTCGATTGCAAGTCAATGTCCCCCCCCCCGAGCCACCGCCCCCCTTATTTCCCCCCTCGAGGTGTGGACTCGTGGGCGTTGGGATGCACGCTGTGCGAGCTCCTGGAAGGAGAGCGGCCGCCTTCGCGGGTTCGGGGCCCACGGGGTCGGCGGGCCGCGCGGGCTTCGGGGGCCCCCGGGGGCCGTCCTCGTCGCCGCGGCTAACCGCGGCTAGAGAAACTGGCGCGTTTGGACTTGGAGAAGGGTCAGTGGGCCCGCCCGGAGCGGACCTCTCACCCAGGGGGGGGGGCGGCGGCGGCGGCGGCGGCGGCGGCGGCGGCGGCGGCGGCGGCGGCGGCGGCGGCGGCGGCGGGGGGCGGCGGCGGCGGCGGCGGCGGCGACAGGGCGCGGCCCGCCGGCCGCGTTCGCCCCGAACCCGCGGGAGTGGCCTCGAAGGCCCCCCCCTCTTCGCGGGGGACTCGCAGGTGGGTGTGATGTTCATGCGCTGGGACTTGCTCGGCGCCCCTGCGGCGGCGTCGCCGCTGCGGGCGCCGCCTCACGCTTCGCAATCGATGCCCGCTTGCAGGCTGGAGGAGGAGGAGGGGGAGGAGGAGGAGGAGGAGGAGGAGGAGGGGAGGAGGAGGAGGAGGAGGAGGAGGAGGAGGAGGAGGAGGAGGAGGAGGAGGAGGAGGAGGAGGAGGAGGAGGAGGAGGAGGAGGAGGAGGCGGAGGAGGAGGAGGAGGAGGAGGAGGAGGAGGAGGGAGGAGGAGGAGGAGGAGGAGGAGGAGGAGGAGGAGGAGGAGGAGGAGGAGGAGGAGGAGGAGGAGGAGGAGGAGGAGGAGGGGGAGGGTGTCGGGCGAGGAGGTGGAAGTGGGGGAGAGCGGGGGGAAGGAGGAGGGAGAGGGGGAGAAAGAGGAGGAGAAAGAGAGCACGATGGGGGCCCCATTGCGATGCATCGCGGGGCGGCGCCCTCTTGGGGGTCGTATCGGGCTGCCCCGGGCGTTCTGAGAAGGACGCTGGACCGTTTTACACCGGAGACTCGAATCCACTCAGGGCCGCCGACGCCCGCCCACCGCGGCCCCCCACTTCAGCCAACCAGGGCCGTGAAGGACCATTTGGCCCTTCAATTATGTTGTTTTCTTGGGGCGGGCTCCGCCCAAGGGGCAAGTGGCCGCCGGCGTGCCTGCTGAAGCTCCCCCCCCGGATGCTCCTCCTCCTCGAGGGCCTCCTCCAGATCGAGGCGTCCTCGAGGGCATCGCCGAGGTCGGCGTTCGAGCAGGGCCCGGCCAGGCACGCCGACCTGTTCCAGCTCGGCGTGGAAGTCCCCTTCGTGAAGTGCACGCGGGGCCACCTGTCGATCGCCCAGGGCCGCGTTTCGACCGCCCTGCTCGAGTGGCTGCAGGTCGGGGGCGATAACGGGCGTCGACCAGACTACACCCCTGCAAGCCAAGGGCCCCGCGGCGAAGGAGGGGGCGGAGGAGGAGGAGGAGGACGAGGGGGTGGAGGCGACGGAGAGGGAACGCAAGGCGGATATCAAGGAAGAGGAGGAGGAGGAGGAGGAATACGACGACGAGGGGGGAGGAGGAGGAGGAGGAGGTGTAGGAAGAGGGCGCGGAGGAGGAGGAAGAGGAAGAGGAGGAGGAGGAGGAAGGGGGAGGGTCGGGTCGGGCGAAAGGGGGGGATTGGGAAAGGGAGGGTTACGAAATTTGCTGCGTGCAGCTGGTTTCGGCCTCGCCGAGGGGCCCATTCCTCGATGCATAGCCGCCTCCGGCGCCGGGAAAATCAGCTACGTGAGCTGATTCTCAAACCCCCCCTTTGCTATCCCCCCCTTTCGCCCGACCCGAGAGGGGGAGGGGGGGGGGGGAGTGCGATCAAATGATTTGTCAAACTCGCATATGATCGCCTGTAGGAGTTATTCGTCGGCGTTTCTAGCACTGGTGCCGCGCCGGTTGCCAGCGTTTGCAATGTATCGTAGTTTTGGAATCAGCGTCGGGACCGCGTTGGAGGACTCTTTGGGTCATCTTGGGGCCGTTTTTTCGGAGGCCTCTGGATCCCTCCTGCGCGTAGCCCTCGCTTCAAAATGTTTGTTGCGGGCCCTCGCGGGCCGCTCTGGGCGGGTCTTTCGGCGCCCTCGAGGTCATATCGAGTCTTTGCAGTGGGCCCTGCGGGCCTCCTGGGCCGTCCAGGAACCGCCGGGAAGCATCGAAAACCAATCGGAAAACGACAAGGCTAGGAGGCAAACGGCGCTGGAACATCACAGCGATCATGATGGGTTGGTCTTCTTGGGGGCCCCCTCTGGCGTCCCGCGGGCGCGTCGGTCCCAGTGCGGGGAGCTTAGGGGGGCAAGTCGGAAATCATATCGCTCAATTTCAGGTTTTCCCCGGCTATATGAGAAGCCGCGGTTGGTGTTCTGGGGCCTTTTGTTTTTTTCCGGGGCCCTATGTGGCCATTTTGGGTTTTCCGGGGGGCTCCGACAACGCGCAGGGGGGCCGCTGGGCCGCTCCCGACCCAGCGGGGGGAGGGCGAGGGGGGATCCCTCCCCGAAGCGGAACGAGCAATTTCGGCAGAACGACCCCCCGATACCGCTCACGCCCCGGAAGGCGGTTGGGATTGCGCCACACCCCCAACCGCCACCAGGGCGACCCCTTCATCTCCACCTGCGTCGATGCCTGGCTCTCCGAGTCTGCGGCGGCACGACAGAAGCGGCGCAAGTGCATGGGCTTGGACGAGGTCGGCCGCAAGCACGAGGATCGGCGGATGAACAAATCCCGATACCGCTGTTCGTCCTGGAAATTCCTTTTCTCGCGATTAGATTCGCTCCGGCGTTCTGGCTTGGCCGCGCGCCCGGGGAGGGCCGGGGAGGTGCGGTGTCGATGGTGCGCCAGGTGTTGCTGGAGGTGTCCTCAGCCGAACGGGGCCCTTTATCTTTTGGCCATTTTGGAGCCTCCGTGATTTCTCGGGCTTCTCGCGGGGCGCTTTGGACGCCGCGGGCGGACTTTCTTGGAACTCCGGGGGCCGTTTTTGACCAGGCGGCACCATCGGCGACACTTGGCTTCACATTTTCTGAGAGGTGTCCGGATACACGGGCGTGGAGCCGCCGAATACCGCGGTGATCAATTTGTTGCCCGCCGATAAGCCGATGGGCGCCGGGCGCATTTCCGCTTTCGCGCGGGCCTTCAAGCAGGTGAATCGCGTTTTCTTCGACGACCTGACCGACGACGTGAACCGGGCGCTGACGCTCGTCCCATCCAGCCTCCGGGGAGATCCGGGCCGTCGAAATCTACGCCGCCACCACCTCCCCCCCATTCCCATTCCCTCCAGGGAGGAATTCCAAGAAGAGGAAGGAAAGGGGAAAGTGGGGGAGGTGGGGGTGGCGCATTTTCGTCGGCCCTGGAGGCGAAAACGGTAACGATTTGATGGGGGGCCATTTCTCGGACACGGCCTTGAGCTACGGAGTGCTGCAGATCATGACGGCATCGAGTAGGGGCGACCCCGCTCACATGGACGGGGCGGCCAGCCTCCTCTGTTCAGCTGGCGCTGCCTGCCGACCCTCGGGGGCCCTCCTCGTCGCCGCGGCTGGACGCGGCTCGAGAAACTGGCGTACTTGGACTCCGGGAGGGGCCCGGGCGCCCGTCTTGAGCGGACTTCTGGCCCGGGGTGGCCGGGGGTGGCCGGGGGGGGCGACGACGACGACGACGACGACGACGACGACGACGACGACGACGGCGACGACGACGACGACGACGACGACGACGACGGCGAC